TCTCTCGGTTACTCTGTTATTTATTTATTTGCTAAAAAAATATATTCTTGCAGAATGTGATTGAAACGTCGGAGGTAGCTAAGAAGCGCAAAAATGAAACCGAAACTGAAGTTGCAGCTAAGAAACGTAAGATAGAAGTTGATAATGATGATGACAGTGACGATATTTGCATTATCAGTAACGACGACGTAATTCATGACAATTCAACCGAACTGAATAAATTAACGTTGAGGAAACGGAAGCTTTCCGATGATGGTGATTGCTTGATAGTGTGTGACGATAATAACGATTAACTCTGAAAGTAACAGATGAGCTTCAAAAGAAAGAGAAATTCATTTGAAAACGAAAGAACCCGAAAGCATTTGAAGTTCCAATCGAAACGAAAAATAAAGAGATAGAAAATAACAAAGAAAGATTTTGAAGAGAATAAAAGAGAATAAAATAAAACTGTAAGACATTTGTGCAAAAATTATATGCAAAAGTTTGAATTATTTTTAAATATAGTGTAATTTATATATATGTGAAAGAGTGAAAAAAAGTTCATTTTTTCCTATTAGTGACATACGTGTTCCATATTAACAGTTAATTTAATTTTGTATATTGATGGAATATATATTCTGTAACGTATCATCATATTATCATTATTATTGTCATTATCTTGATTAGTAAAAAAATAGATCGTTTTTTTTCTTATACTAAGATGTTTTATTGATTAATATTCTGACTTCGTCATTGTAATCTAGAATTTTTATGTAATAAATCATCCATAGTAATTTAATTTTATAATTAATAATACATGCGTTTCCAATAATTTAATGATTTCTAAATAAGCTGTAATTTCTAAAAAAAATTTATATTTGCATTTATATTTCCTTTATTTTATAAAAATACGAAGATTTATTTAAAAAAAAATCAATCAGAATATATTCAGTTTACAAAAAAATATCGCGTGTTCAAAAAATATTATTTATCAAAAAGATTATTTGTCGGTTAAATATTACTGCTTTATGATCTTTTCACATGTCAATTTTTTGCTCCTGCACAGTGCAAATACTTATCTAACTTATAATTATACATCTCAAAGTCGACTTTGTATCTTTTATACAGCCGCAAGACCATATTGGTGGTCACGTTGCGAAAGTATTTGCATGCTACGTCAAAATTTGTGATTCCGCTATGAGTACGCTGCAGTCTAGGCAAGTAGATGTTATTTTTATCTAATTTCAATTTTGTCAAGATGTAATTGATTTCCCCGAAAGTGTATTCGTCCAGCCTCAGGACGAAATTGTATCTCACGTTGCAAACCGCGCAGTGAGTATGATATTGGGCCCAGTGAACGTCATCCTGATCCAGTGGTTGCTTCAGCAACCATTCTAGAAATTCTCGGAAGCTGGGTACCACTTTCAATCTGCAGAGAGATACAGGGATTTTGTACTACATTCTATATTATATGAATTAATTATAGAATATGAAAATGAGAGATACAAGTATTTGTTGTATACCTTCTGTCTGCCAAGAATATTCTTTGCAGAATGTTGCCGCCCGATGCATTGAAACGAAAGAGTTCTGGCCTCGAGAGATGGAGAATTTGGCGAGCATAGAGCCAGGATTGCGCGGTGTACTTACTGTTGTCTTCGATGCGATCTCTATAAATAATTTTGAATTAGTATTTATTCATCGAGATTAATTTTGGCGTTACAGAATAAATTGGCGTGAATTGAAATTATGATGAAATAACAAAATTTGTATTTTCTTTCTTCGATTTGTGAAAATTAGTTATCGATTTAAAGTCATGGTGTCCAGCGCTTCTTGAATATCTTTGAAATATCCTGGAATTATACTCGAATTTTATATATTCTGGAAAATTTCTGGAAAACCTCTGAAATTTCAGGACTTGCCTGGAATTTAACATTCTTTCATTCTAAAAAAATCAGCGTGAAAAAAGAAAAAATAAGAAGAAAAATTGTGTTTGGGTATAAGTCCTTGCAATTTAAATTACCAATAAAAAATGAGAAACTTGAATTTGATGTCTCAAATAGAACATAGTTTGTGTTGAATATTCGTTTAATATTATTTATAAAACAATAAATAATATTGTTTCAAATTTGTTAGTGTTTTAATTCATTCGTATAGAATCCTGACTTAGATATAATATTGTGCAAATCGATGAAAATTAATTAAATAATGAAAATTAATCGATAAGATAAATCTTGGAAAAACCAAAATTTTTACATGGAATGTCCTGGAATTATCCTTGAATTGACTAGTCAGATTTTGCTGAACATCATGAAAGTATTGCTTCAGTGTATTTTTCATAACAAGATTAATTACCGGTATGATGAGATGAGCCGTTGAAACGGATGTCTGACTATAAGCAATTTGAAGATTGTATTATTGCTAGCAAAACGCTGCAGGTCTTTCAAACTTTCCGGCGATAGAAAGTCCACTTCTCTACAAATGCAAATTAACATTTTGTACATTATTAGTTTAGTCATTTCATCGAAATAAGATGAAAAAATATGTTTGTTGAAATAAAAAACTTAACATATAATTATCATATAAATTAAGATAATAAATTACATAGAAAATAAAGTAAAATTTTCTGAATTTATATATTAAGGAGAAATATTTTGGTTCCTACCAGGAATCCGAGACTTCTGGCATGATAGATCAGTACGCTACCATCTGGTCTGCCATGCCACGCTCGCGTTCACAATCAGAATAATATCTGATAATGAATATATTAGGTGTAAGTATTTAATTATAATTAATAGTAATTACTTGTAAAGATCATGGTCGACTTGTCGGTTGCTCATGTCGGAAAATAATTTAGTGAAACTGGTGGACGCGACCTTGCGAATCCAACAATATAACGACTTATGTTCGGCATTGTATAAAAAATGCCTTTTGACAAGAGGAGTCCTCAGTTTGTACTTCGCGCAGACGTTCGATATCTGTTGAAGTAGAGTCGCGCTTTTCTGTTCAATTCAAATTTTTGTAAGCAAAATTATTTTTATCTATGTGTAAAATAAATTGATAATCGAAAAAAATGGAATAGAATCAAATATTATTTTAAAAAAATTATTTTAAAAACTTTTATATTAAATTTAAATAATTTTCAGAATTAAAAAAATATTTATTTTGATGATAAAAATTCGGAATGATTGAAAATTTTTTTAAATTACGCACAAAGCGATTAAGTTGTATTTTGAGTTCATTTACTTTTAGTACTACATTTTTCAAGCTCCTTGTATCTCTTCCTCGATAGTATAGTGGTTAGTATCCCCGCCTGTCACGCGGGAGACCGGGGTTCGATTCCCCGTCGAGGAGATTTTTTTTTCATTCTATTGTATATTTATTTAAGATTTCAGATCTCTACTTATTTTTAGTTCCATTTTTTTCTCTTACATAAATACTTATTTGAGTTCTCAGAGAAATATACCTGTAGGTCGATGGTTCCACCCTCTAATTCGTCTCTCCGCAATATGTTGATCTCCGACTCGACATTCTTATTTATCCTATCTGAAGTCGAAAAGTGGGGCGTTTGCGGCTGATGCTTGATCGTCACGCCTACCGTTTCTTTTACGTCGCAGCTTCTTCTAGTTTTAATTAAAATTATGCAAACAAGAAAGTACAACACCATGCACAAACTATATTTGAAAAATTGCGTTTTAACGGACATAATGAATTGAATATCGCGAAGAGAGTTATAATTTACAGTTTTACAATAGTCATAAACTGCGACACATTTCCATTTTATCAAAATTTATGTAAAACACCACTTGAATCCTTTCAAACTTTATAATAAAAATTTATGGAGATTAGAATTAATCTTTGATGTCTAAATTGCAGCACATTGGAATCTTTCCGCACTTCTGTCTTCCGTCAGGACTAGAAATACAAGTTGAAATATATCTGCTTGAAAATACCCGTTTCGTGTAGGCGTGTGATATTTCTTATCGTTTGCTGATTTCCTGATTTCGTTTAGACATTCCTCTCGAATTGTTTATTAAAAAAAGGTTTACATAATAAGATGATACAATGATGTTTATGATTTTTATGTGTTAGGTTATTAAAAACTGTTGTTTACAAAAACACACATTTTCGATTTGTGAGGTCATAGGACGCTTATGAAATTTCCTTAGTCTAATCTCCATTCTTATTCTAATCGAGTGTTCTGTTTTTCATTTTATTCTTTCCCTCTAATATAGACAACTCGAATAGTAAAAGAATAGAATAAGAGAATTATTTTGCAAAATTACAGCCGATTTATAAAATGGAGATCATAATCCTGAATTTCATTAAGTATATATAAATGGGATATCACACACTGAATTGAAAGCAATTCTACTGAAGTTAAATTGAAAAGTGAATTGATCTCAAATTAATTCAATCTGCCCATTCCAAAAGAATTATTTCGCATCAATATGCGGTGTATAAATTGTGGTTTAAGAAAAAAAAATAATAAAAGGACACAAATATCACTTTATCATTATATATTTGAATTAATTCCTTTTTTTTTTTTTTGATTGGCGAAATATTTCAATATTATTGCATTTCGTTCACGTGATTGCGAAAAATGTTGGACAGTCAGTAAATTGTAATTTCAATACTCAATGATACAAAAACTTAATTAATCTGTTATTTTATAACAGCGAGAATGTTTGGAATCGCGCTATAGTTACGCGGTTTCATAGTTAATGACAATTAAACGTCATCGATTAAAATTGCCTTTATAGTAATGTTTATATAATCGAATCCGCCGATTCCCAGTTTTTCACGAAAATCTTAAGAACTCAATTTCAATATTTCAATTAAATTTTTTTACTCAATTTATATACAAATTTGATCTATATTTCTAACGCTATATATTAAATTATTTAGATTTTTAATAAATACATAATTGATATTACACATATATTTTGTTTGTCGCATATAATATATATATAACGTTATTACATTATATATATATTATATTTATCTTATATACTTTTGTTGTATTATTTAGAAGTACTCAAAGTGAAATATACATAAATGATATGTTATAGCTCAATTTCTCATCAATTTCATCAATGAAATTCCATCTCCAATTCTATCATTACTAATGAAGGATTTGGGAACCGACGGATTTTCAAGGGGAACACTAAAGTCGAGATCTTTATCTGCGATCTCTATATCTGTGATGGTCGCGAGAAGAACGATGATTGCTGTGCCGACTGTGACGACTGGCTGTCCTCCATAGGAATTCATCGACACTCCTTTCGTAGCTACGTTTCTCTAGTGCCGACACTGTAGCGTTGTAATCTGGAGGCAATGGTAGACCATCGTAATATCTGAAAAAGAGCATTCCCATTTAATCTTATGTCCCTGATAGGAAAACACCCCCTCGTTTGATTTATGCCAATAAAATTTTTACTACTTACCGTGGAGGTGGGGGTGGTGGTGGCAAATTATCGTATGGATGTGGATAAGGCGGTAATGGAGGCAATTGATGTTGCATAGTACGCATGTAATCTGCCACATAAGCTTCTGCAACCGCAGCAACACCCAATCCAGTTCCGTAACCCCTAAAAGAAAATTAATTATATGTAAGCTATGTTCCAAAATTCACTGCCAGCGCTGAAAAGTTTACGTTACGTATACTATACATTTTCAGCACTGGTGAATTTTAGAACATAGCCATAATAAGCGTCTTTTTACAAATCGTGAGAATTTGTATTCGTCTTTGATAAAACACCAATTTTAGTAATTTTGCAGTGTGAATTATGTATATACATTACAACAGTAAATTTAACCTCATGTCTATATCGTGTAATTTTAAATGCCATGATGATCGATATTAAATAATCGTACTTTGTGTAAGGTGAATCGCCTCGATTAAACCATGGCGTGTACCGATAAGAATGATCCCTGGAACTCCTATGATTTCCTGTAACATCCTGAGATCTGGCCAGTGATGCTAAACGTGATCTCGAGGTCAAGAATAATTTGCGCCCTCGTCCACCTCTTCGTAAAAATCTAAAACTGCCTATAGGTCTTTTATCGCGATAACGCGTTGATTTTACAACGTGTTTCCCTGCTTCCTTGGATTTTCGCAAGATAGGCGTCATTTCGATTCCTGTAAACACGAATAATATTTATGCCACATGATTTATTAATACAAAATAATAAATACATAAAAAAATATGTTCGTTTAAGAACGGAAATGAAAGGTTAGCTCAGCGAAAGCGCGCTTTGAAGGCGAGACAGAAAATTTATTTTACAATATTTAAAATTTTAATGTAACTCAAATACAAAATATAATAATACAACTAATTAAGGTTTTGACAAAATTAGAAATTGATTTATTTTGACAGCATGGTGTGTCCGATTCTGACTTTGATTCACTCTTGAACCTTATTGATAGACTTGAAAAAGGATGTATTATTATGTTGAAATAAATGGCAAAAGAAAGAACTAAAGGAAAAGCAGATGAGGAGGGGTGTAAATCCTAAATCCTCGCACAGCGTGAAACCTGAGCCGATCATCAAGTTCGCCAATAATGAAAATGGGAAGTTCGCCTGAGTCGATCATTAGGCCCCATAAGAAAGAAGTTGTTTGATTACTCAGAGCATATCGTCAAGTAATTCTGTCCGAGTCAGATCATTGGGCGGTGGGTCGCTACCATCAATAGGTGCTACCACCCGAGACTGTTTGTCAGGCAAACAAGGAATCATGGATTCGTGTATGACTAGAGACACGTCTTAAATTTGTTCTGTGCAGTAAGAAGCAGATAGGAGTTTTGACGCTCTTACCTTGAGTCGCCTTAATTGATATGGACGGTAAATATTTAAAGTAGCATGAGAAATCGATATCAAGGTCTTCGGATTCTTTCTATTCAATATGCGTGATAAATCTGTTGTTGTTACTAAGAGAATAGGAGGAGAAAAACGAAAAAAGGACGTTCAAAAGAGCCTGCCTAGCTGATCGCGCTCTCGATCATGCGCTGTCGCGTTGAACGTAAAATAAAAAATTGCGCTTGCGGCGCGTTATTTAAACAAATTGGCTGTCTTTAACGTATTCGAGCTTGCTCGAACCAAATACATTTATATATAATTTATAAACACACATATAAAATAAGATTTAATAAATCCTTATATTTTATTAATATTATTTATTAAGATGTAATGTTCTCGTATATTAATAGATACCTTCGTCTTCTGGAAATAATCTGCACAATTCTTCAGCGACTCTGGGTTCGATTTCCTGGCCGTCTCGACCGATCTTGACTTGTTTACCGTCATTCCAAGGATTGTACAAGTGTAACGTAGCAGTAAAAGGCAATTCCTTCCTGCAGATCCAGTCAACTTTAAATACGCCACCTAAAGCCTTTGCTGACAAGCCAGGAGGTAAAACCTGAAATGCATTCATTGCAAATTCATGACATTGTTCCCCCTGTCTTAAGACCTATTTAATTAACAAGAATGTAATCAATGTTGAAATCAATATTATATCGTTATATTTTATTTACATACCCAAGAGACTGGACCAGCATCTCGTCTCGATTCTGTACAAAGTCTCGCAAAGCCAGCGAACTTGCCCGATTCCTTCACAGAAAATACCAGCAAAACATTTCGCGATTCCCTGTAGGCTTGATTAAGATTTGCTTCATTTTGCGGCAGTGTGCTCCATACTCCTTTGGCTTTAGACAGTGTCACGTTCTCAGCATTATTAGACTTGATGATGAAAAATCTGAGAAAAGAGGCTCGGAAATATTTACGTTCCAGATTTAGATAGTCAATCAAAAATATATGTCCGAGTTAATATATTTTTAATAAACAATATATAATTTACAAAGTGTCCCAAACTTTGTGTGACATACGTTAGTAGCAGATTCCTGAGATAATTTCAAGACAAAAATCCTAATATTAAAATCAAAGCTATACACATAATTTTTCAAACATTAACAATAATGAAGATATTTTCAAGTATCAATTCTATTCTCTTCTATTCTTCTAAAAATCTTTATTGCTATATAATGTGCCATGTCAGAGCACGATCGAGAATTTTGGACAGTTCAAAATTGACTGACTTTAAACCTTTCTCATTTAAAAACTATAGTAGCCTCGACATTTTATCAAGATTTTTATCTCAAAATGATCTCAGGCACCTGCTATTAATGGGCATGGAAAGTTTGGGATACCCTATAGTCCATTAAAAATCCATCAACTCATCGAACCTTGCATCTCTAAACAAATAATTCAACTTGGTAGTGTAGTCGTAGTTCTTGGTAGTGCCTTTGCTGTCCTTGGACCTAGCCCGCTTCGGCTCAGGACTGGACGACTTGGAGTCCCTGGATCTGCCTCGTTTGCTCCTGTTCCTTCTGCTGCGCTTATTGTCACCACGCGAGGACTTGCTTGAGACTGAACTGATGGTGGGATGGGTAGTGGAGCTGTCGGAGTTGGAGCTGCTGGAGGAGACCTCGCTGCGGGTGTCATACGTCTCGTCCGCGGCGATCCGTAGTTCGTCGCCGTTGTCGTTCTCGCCAGAGCTGAGATTCAGGTTGTCGCCATCCGTGTTGCTGTCCATGGTCAACTGCCCGGATTGTTCCCCGCTGTCGCCGATTCAGGCGTCCTGCAATGTACAGACAGGAAGGCTTATTATTATGATTCACTGAACTACGCAGAGACTTGCAACTCTTGAGGAACGACGTATCGTAACGTTTCTCGTACATCTTACGACAATAATGCGGTAGCAAGGGACTATATAGTGTACAGCGAGAATAGTTCGGGGATTCCGAATCGAGCGGAAAGTCCACACTGTCCCGAATACTCTCTGTTAAAGCGGCTACGCCTAACACAAACCGACAGGGACACATGGCCGGACTCGGGCACGATTTCGAAGAGCTCGGCCGACCGGAGGATCTGGACGGAATATAAACTACGACTTTTTTTTATGAACAGTCCTTGAGATTATTATGGCAACATTTTTTTTTTTTTTTTGCGGTAACACAGAGCAAACTCGCACAGAGGACGCCGGTTCTATGGAGTCTCTGAAAGCACGGAGAAACTTTTTTTTTTAATCCGGATCGCCTCGTCCTAGTTATTTATCCTCTATGCACACTCCTTCCGCAAGCAGAGGTTTACTTATGGACAGATCTTACAGCGTGACAACCGTTTTTACTTTACGTCAAACACGTCAAGAGTCCGTCGGGAGAATGTTTAGTCGGTCTTACTCCTCTTTTTTTCTTTCTTTTTTTTTTGCGCTCTTTTTTTATTTTTAATATATCTAGAAAAGTTCGTCGCAAAGTGCAGTTTAAACCACTAAATACAGAATTCTTGTCGTTATATGCTCTCTCTCTCTTTTCCTCGAAAGTTCTCGCAATATTTTTTCGTTTCTTTTTTTCTGACGAGTCCTCCCGAGGGCTCGGCACACACTTACGTGACACCCTTTGTCCCTTCACTGATACACTTCACACCGAAGCACGCTCGGGAATTGTCCGACGCGATCACAGCACCGGCACGCACGGTTCCCGACTTTGCAGCAGCACGAATTAACAACGTTGAAATAACTACGACAACGAGGCGATGATAAACAATCGCTCGCGGACGGATCGTTCACGAGTCACAGCGTCCATTGTCGACCATCGTTGTGACGTATACCCTCCGAATCAATAAACCCCGTTTTCTCTCACGACTGTAATAGATTTGTTCGTCATTTTCCATTCGTCCTCCATTTTTACTCCTTTCCCCACTGTTTGTTCTCTTTTCAACCTCTCTTCTCTCTTCAATCTTCTTAGTTTAGCCTCTTAGTTTAGGAGAGAGAGCAAGGAATTAAGAAAAGGAGCAAGAGAGTGGGAATAGGAGTAAAAATGGCGGATGCGAATACTCACGTTTATAGTGCCTTATAGCGTTTTCGATTGGGCAAAAGTTAGTGCGCACCAGTGCGCACTCGGTTCACACCAACACTGGACGAGTTCCATGGGTTGCACTGAATAGTGCAAGTTCAAAAGAACACGCCAAGATTTTCAGTGCTAAGGTTCATTCCACACAAACTTGCAGAGACGCATAACCATATGCATAAAGAAAATTATCCAATCACATTTCTGTCATATAGACAAATGTAAACTACGATTGGATGATTTTCTTTATGCATAGTTTATGCGACTATGCAAGTGGGTCGCACCCAGTTGGACACGGCTCAATTGGACACAAGCCACTCACA